ATATATGAAATAATAGAGGAGTTATTATAAAAAAATTATACCTATAGCTCCTATTTGTTGTGAAGAAGGTTTGACAGTGGCAGACATCAATGAATTAGATGTGCTTGAAATTAGGACAGTGTTAGGGCTGTTGCCCAACTGCCCCGATTGTCCAAACGCGGCTCCACCACCGGCAGCAGCCGCCTGTCGCCATAGAAATTAAAAATTTAAATGAAAAAAATTATGGCACAAATGAGTATGATTGAATTATTGAAAAACTTCTTACCATGCGATATTGACTTGGAAGACTTTGGAACATGTCTGGAGGAGGCTGGTAGTTGTATGGAGCGGCGGAACCTGCACCGTAGGGTGTCCCAGGGAATCCACCGAACTGACCTCGACTTTGATCTAAAAATGCTCCATATAGCCCACCCTGTTGTGGCAACTGTTGTGATGAGCCCAAGAGTTGTTGCGATGAATTAAAGAGAACAGCAGGGGGTGAAGATACTGACAAGCCACCATATCCACTTTGGTATCCCATGTGATTGTAATGCTGAGGAGGCGGAGATTGCAGTTGCTGGGTTGGCTTTACTTTGCATACATTAGGAGGAGCACCGGTGTCGGTATTGTTTTCTTCAAATCCAGCAAACTGCAATTCCTCACTTCCTTCTGCCACAGCAGGCATCTCCCAAACTTTTTTAACACTAGCAATTTTTAAATTGAGATCAGCTGCCAGAGGAGAAATAGTATTGGAAGAGCTCATATGAGTGCTCCGGGGCAAGCCCAGTGACTTAGCAGCTTTATCTTCAGTTAATTGACCTAAATCTGAGTCAAAGGCAAAATCAAGCTTCATGTCCGAGGAGTCTTCAGTTTTTTGTGATGTGTCAAAAGATATTGGAAGACCTAAAGATCCTTCAGGATCAGGTACTGGCCTACTATTCTCTGCCATTATTTCCTGAATAGATCTTGGCCGCGGTCGTACATCTCCATTATAATTAATGGTCCGTGCATCAATTTCTGCAGGAACATCCTCATTCTGAGCCTTCACATTAGCTGCACTAGGTTGATATTTTTGTTTTAAAGCCTCAGCTGGAGGAATTGTTTTATAATTTGTGTTTTCAAAGATAATGGTCTCCACAGGTGGAGTGGTGCCATCTAAGACTCCAGTTTTTTCTGCTATAATTGTGCATGGGCTTGAAGCTGTCTTTGTCTCAGCAGGAATATCCCCAGGTGTACTCCGTTGGCTGGATTGACTCGATTTGTTGTCAATTACCTCCAAAGGCTCGTCAATATTACCGCGCAGCGTCTGTGAAATCGGTTTATCCCAGGCATTGACAGATGGCGGTGGCGGGGCAGCTCCGGTATCCGGGCTAAAGCTGGACATCATACCCATTTGCTGTTTTTGCCTTTGTTTCACAAAACGGGGTGCTAAATTGGCTTGTCGTGGTCTTTCGTATTGCGGATTGGGTTTACCAGAAACGGGCGTCGGTCCTCGAGCGTTGCCTTTGTCGTTCGAGTTTCTTGATGATGAACCATTTCTCCCTCCACCTTGATTGGAGTGAGATCTAGGTTGTTTAGACAATTGTTGATTTTCGTCTTTTGTTATTGGTCCTCTAGGATCTTTGGAGTTTTTCTTATTTCTCACTTCTTGGAATCCATCATCAACAATTTCATCGTCTTTCTTCATAGTGGATATTTTAAGACTTATAGCATCAGTTATATCAGCACTTTTCCCGTCTACATTGTCTTTCTTGATGCCTTGACCGTTACGACCGTTATTTTGTCGATTATTTGGATTGCGTCCACCACCACCACCAGGTCCCTTTTGAGACTGAGCAGATTGTCTACCGCCTACAGAACGACGACGGGCGCCGCCGCTTTCGGAATGTTCGGATGTTGTTTCCCAATTCTCATCTTCACCACTCAATTGACCAGCTCCTTTAGGACGTCGATCTCGACCCCTTCCAGTCGATGAACCAGTTCTTGGCTTATTATTAAGTTTCATTCGATCATCTTGGATAGGATCTTTTCCATCCTCAGTATCTTTAACGGCTCTATTTGCCTGACTGAAAGGACTCTTAGTATTGGGGGGTCCATATCCTGTAACTCGCTTTGCAGGGGCTGGTGGTCGAGTTGTCCCTTGAAAACCACCCCGCCCGCGTCTAGACGGTTGTCCACGAGGGGCAAATGGTATTTCTCTATTATCTACACCGTCGCTTACTGGCTGACCTGAATCAACTAAATTATTCAGATCATCAGACCTTTCTGGCTTCTTCGGACCTCGTGGGCTACGAGGGGCCCTACGGCGTTCTTTTCGATCAGCATTAGGTGCTCCATCCGTCGACGCATCAGATTCACTGGCCCTATTTTTAGAACGTGAGCTTCGATGCGAACGTCTTCCGCGAGATTCTCTTGGTCCCCAACCTCTGTTATACACATAACCGCTATTGTTTCCATAACCTCTGCTTTTCTTTTCAGATCCTGATCCACTCGATTTTCTTTCAATGGGCTCCTTCAAGGGTATTTTGTGCAATTGTTCATTACTGAAACAATCACTTTTCTTTTCCTCACTAACATGTGTTTGAGTATCTGTAATACCTTGAATAGATTCAGCAGATCTTGTGTCAGTATTTTTCGCTAACAAAATTGTTGGATCGTTGCTAGACTTTGATGCTATGGACTCTGATTCTGAAAAGTCTTTATCAGACTTTTGAGAAGTGAATGCAGGCTTACTTGTTATGTGTTGTGAAATTACGTCAACAGGTTTTTGAAGTTGTGGTGAAATTAAAGGAATATCATTTTGAGTTCCAGGTTTGGCAATAGATTGATTGCCAAGCCTAGAAAGAGATTGGCTATCAGTAAACGGAAGTTGAGATTGATTAGAAGGAAGAGGTGCAGATTGTGCTGTGCTTTGTGTTAAATGGGTTAATTGCTGATTTGCTGTAAAATCTTGCACAATAGACCCTTGGTTAGTGTGAAACTTGTTAGTTTGACTTTGTAATACCGGAGGAGGATTGTTTAATGGAGCAGCATTTTGTTGTTGAAGTTGAGTGGGAAGAGTTTGTTGAAGTAAAGAAGTATTGACATCTGCTTTTTCAGATGTTGTGAATTCTTTTGGCGCTCGCTCCTTCTCTTTAGATGAATCGACATTTTCAGATGAGGCTTTTAAAGGAGAATATTTTGTTTGGTCTTCTTGTGATGCTTCGGCCCATGAGGTTTTACTATAGTCTTTTTCAGTAGTTTCCTGTGGCACTACAGGTGGTGTGGGATGCCGCTCTGGTGGCTGTATTTGTGCGGAAGAATCTACGGGAGGGGCAAATGGCTCAGTTAGGCCAATACTTTTTCTTTCAAAGACTTCAGTTAATTTATCTGCAGCGGTTCTACTTCTTTGCTCAATGTGGCCTTCTATTGTTTTTCTCTCAGACTCATTTCTTCTATCTCTAAAGTCATTACCATAATCTTTAGAGTTACTTTTTTCTACATCCCGAGCAGGTTTATCATAATCTTGCATTTCTGATCGCCATTGAGGACCAGAAGCTTCTTTGTCCCTTCTAACTTCGTCTTCGCGATCAGAATAGTCCCTGAAAACAAAACATTGATAAAAAATAAATACCCATGTAAAACCAGATCAACTTATTGTGTTTATATTTTAAAAGTAAAAATACCTTGAATATGAGCGGCGGCCATTATGTGGAGCATGGCGTGGAGCATTATACGCCGGTGGGTCTTGACGCCTAGGCGCTGGTTTTCCTGTAAATGCCCACCCTTTGTGTTGTTCTTCTTGTCGACTTTGTTGTTGTTTTAAGAACCGTGGTGGTATATTAGCTTGGAAAGTTTTAGAGAATGCATTACTGGTCTGGTCACGATCGCGACCATAATCTCTGTCCCTGAAGTCTCGATCGCGATCACCTCTTTCTCTATCACCTCGATCACGGTCGCGATCACCACGATCACGTTCCCGGTCGCGATCACGTTCACGATCTCTATCACGGTCCCGATCGCGTTCTCTATCACCACGCTCTCTGTCTCTATCAAACCTGTCACGATCTAGGCGATCTCTGTTGTCATTACGATCCCTATCCCGTGCATCTAATCTTTCTTTTTCATTCTCCATGACGTTTCTGTTGTCATTTCTATTTCGATCTCTGTTCTCATGTCTTTCCCTATCAGAATCTCGCTCCCTATCTCTATTATCGAATCTATCTCTATTGTCATTACGATCCCTGTTATCTAAACGTTCACGATCTCTTGGTTCACCTCTATCTTTTTCTCTTGTATCTCTATCGCGGTGATCTATTCTATCCTTTTCCCTGTTATCCATTCTATCGCGATCTCTATTTTCTAATCTCTCCTTTTCCCTAGAATTAGAATCTCTTTCTCTTTTATCATTGCGATCTTTGTCAATTCGATCCGATTTCTCCCGGTTATCTTTAGTCTGCTGAATCGATGCCGGCGTGTCACGCATTTGTCGCCGTTGCTCTTCTTCTTTACGCTGCCGTGCTCTAGCGACAGCTTGGGCCACTTCATTGTTTTGCTTTTGTCGCCGTTCTGCCCACAATTGGTCTTCGTCACCGGGTTCCTGAATCTTAGAATCTAAACGGTCATTATCAGCACTCGAACGGTTGTTGTTAATTTTACTACTAGACTTTGTTGTGGGTGTCGATGATTCACCATCCGAGAAGTCCAATTTTTGACTAAAAAATTATATAGAGTTCATTAATACATTGCATAGTAACCTATAAATTATTAAGATATTGTTATAATTCAAAGTACTTACTCATAATCAATATCGTCATGTTGTGCCCATCCCGCATCACGAGAGATGTCATCGAGTGAGGATATTTGTTCCTCCCTCAGAATGGGTCGTGCAGTTAGGACCTCCACGGCTCGTGGCGTG